TTTGGGAATTCTCTGTAAGTTTCACGAGATTGAAAAATATAAAAAAATTAATTAACAAAAATATCAACCTCATTGTTATTTTTTTTTTTAAATTGAGAAATTAATCATTAACCAATAAATAATTCATAGATATATCAATCATAACACGATAGAAAATAGCTTTTAAACGGAAACACACAAGAATCCGCAATTTTTTTTTTTTTAAAAAAAGAAATGTACCGACAATTCGGCTAAAATAGTAACCGGCGATACCAATCTCGTAATCATTGATTTTTTTAATGAGAAAATTTGTTTGTTTATCAATATAAATCATGACACATTGAAAAATAATATTTAAACGAAAACACGTACGATAATACAATCTGACTCAAACTCTGTAATTTTTTTTTTTTAGAGTAGTAAATGTATTACTCGTTCAATTAAATAGTAGTCGGTGATAACAACTTTATATTCATGCATTCGTCGATAAAATAGATTAATCATTATAAAACGAAAAATAACCCTCAAGCTCGTAATGAATTTTAGATGAAAAAAATAAACTAACTATTCGATTGAATTATAACGGGTAAGAACGCACGTAAAAATATACTTCGACTCAAACTCATTTTTTATAAAAAGAAGGTATTAATTATTTAATTAAATAATAATTGGTTATGTTTGTATATAATAAAAATTTACCAAATGAAAATACTAACTCCTATATGATATATATGTCTTTTGACCAAAATATCCCTCTAATATATATTTGACATTTCAATATAATACATAAATGTTAGATATGATGGTCCTATAAATTCATTCTTATTTAATGCCACTTACAAATTAATTAATGAAAAATTAATTGGCATTAATGATGTTGCTGGGTAGATAGTCCATTGAATGTACATTTTGTTGAAATTTTTATCTCAAGTACATATAAATATATATATATATATATATATAATTTTTATTTGAAGCTAATTACCAATTCATTTATTTTACTTCCACAATTACTACATATGTATATATAATTTCTTTATTTAATTTAACAAAATTTCACTTAAACATATATGTAATAAAATCATAATAATTTGGCAATGTCAATACACCCACATGTAAAAATTTTGAGTAATTAATAAAGTTTCTATAGTATATGTGTACTATATGTATGTAATTAATATTTGTAACTATAAGGTACCATTTATGTATATATATAGAGGTAGGTATATAGGGAAATAGTACTGTAATTATATATACGTACAACTAATATATGTGACTATAAATGTAATCAAAATAGAAAATTGAAAACACATATGCATGCAAACATAAAGGAACTCTCTGATTTCACATGGGTGAGCATAAATTCTAGATATATATATATATGTTTATTTTAGATCCGTAAATGATAATTCGACATATTATTTTCTTTTTTAAAAAAATAAATCCTGTCACGTACACTGAGACATATAATTATTTAATTTTTTTTCTTTAATATCTAAGCTATATGTTTTTTTTTAATAAATTTTTTAATTAATTAGGATCATAATTATTATTGTTTTAAAAAA